TGTATTCATTCCAAGTTTAACAATAGATAACTATAACTTTACACTCACTCTTTCATTTTAAAGAGGAAAAAAGCAAAAATAACAGAACGGAAACAAAAAAGCAATTTCGAACAATAAAAATGGTACAGAATTTCAAAACAAAAACAGAAAATTAACAACAGTTACATTATGTATTGTTATCACCAGTTGTTACATTATGTATTGTTATCACCAAATTTGCTGCTCAGATTATGAGATATAGGCTTGCAAGATTGATCAAACAACTAAACATTAATTCCTCCTTTCACTAAACCTTAATTTTTCCTTGTCCTTCTTACTCTTGTAAAATTTATTTTAAAAGAGAGTTTAAAAATAATAGATGAGACATTGGAAACGATACACATTTAAAAGAACAAGAGGAGAGGGATTCAACCATGGTTATTAATATTACACATTGCTATCCTCAGTGAAGTTGCATATTACAGATGTTCTGAGTATTTATCTTTACATGTTTGTCTTCTGCCAAAGTACTTATAACTCTTTGGAAATGAGAACTGCACAGTGTTTTTTTCCTTTTTCAATATGACATAAGCACTGCTTAAAACCTCATGTAATGGAAATATTTGCATTAAGAATATTATGAGGAAGTATGATTAGAGGTAGGGTCAGACTCATGATATATGCACCTTCAAAGCCAGAACATTACCATAAACAACAATTAGTACCTGTTCTAGTTTAGAATTAAAATATTTCCCCAAAAGTCTCATGTGCTCAGAGATGGAGCTTTTGGAAGGTGATTGGATCATGGGGATGCTATACTCTGAAGTGGCCTATCTACTGATGAGTTCATAACTAAATGTGCCGTTAAGAGTTATTGCTTGAGGGCCGGCCAAATAGCTCAGCAAATTAAAGCACATGCAAGCAGGCACAGGGGCCTGGGGTTCAATCTCCAGGCCTGCCATGATGGCCCCACCCCCAGGGCACACTAAAGGCAATTGAGACTGGGTGTGGTGGCGTGTGCCTATAATCCCAGCTCTTGGGAGGCTGTAAACAGGCAGATCACTAGGAGTCCAATCTAGTAGTGAGGCCCTAAACACCCTGTATACCCTTCC